GTGCCTTCGAGTCAAGTACGACTCATAACGACCCTATAAACAAAAGATCTGAACCCTGTCCTGTCCTGTGCCTTCCTCACACTTCCTGACACACAAGAGCCCATGGCAACAGTCACCGTGTCAATCTACCTGGGTGAGGGTCTTTCTCCCTTTCGCCAGCCCTCCACCCTTCCCAGCATCATGTCTCTCTCCACGGAATAGCCCCTCCTAGCAATATGCCCTAAGTATGTGAGGCAAAGCCTCATCATTCTTGCCTCCAAAGAGCACTCCAGCTGCACCCTCTCCAAGACACATGTGTTCGTTCTCTTGGTCGTCCATCGGATGTTCAGTGTGCTCTTCTCCAACACCACAGCTCAAAGGCATCAATTCTTTTCCTGTCATCCTTAGTCACTGTCAAGCTGTTAGATGCATAGCAAGTGATCAGAAAGACTAGGGCTGGAATCAGGCGCATCTTAGTCCTCATACCTGAGAGTATCTGTCATGAGGCCTGTGACTGGACCTGTTAAACGGGAACACTTGGAATTATGTGAGCCCATTCAGGTGGTTAATTTGAAGTAATATAGGATACTTGGTGGATGAAAGGAAATGACTGCTTTGGTTAAAGCCTTGCTAAAGGTTGGAGAAAGGCATGGCCCAAATCACCACTCAATTCCCCTCAGGCAGTGGTCTGATAAGAGAGGTTTACCTCCCATACTCTGAACACTCCCCCTCCTCTTGCCTGGGATAGCCTTTTTTTTTAAAAAAAAAAAAAACTTTAAAATTTTTTTTCTTCTACTAGAAACTACAGAACAATCTCACTGATTTCATATGCAAGCAAGATTTTACTGAAGATTATCCAACAACGACTGGAACAGCACATCAGCAGAGAATTACCAGAAGTCCAGGCTGGTTTAGAAGGGGTCGTGGATATGAACATGTATGGCCAAGCACAATCAATAAGAGTGCATCTAAATTCCAAAATCAATCTCCATAATAGTCTATGTGTTTCCTACTGCCAAAGGGGCCCTTTAGAGTACTGAGAGAAGATCTTCACCCTGAAACCCACAGCGTCCCTTTTCAGCAGGAAGTAGCTAAGAGAATACGCCGTCCCCTTTTCCTTATGACTCAGGGTGAAGTCTCTCTCAGGGAGGAGTGATAGGGAATGGCAAAGGACACACTGACAAAGAAGATTAATCAGAACTGGCTTTGACAAGCACTGTGGCATTTGGACAAGAACAAACTGGGAGGAGGGTAGAGAGAATGGTGCAGCGGTGAATGAATAGAAACCCAAAATCTCTGTAAATGTTTATGAAAATTAATAAAATATAATTATAGAAAAAAAAAGAAGGGGTCGTGGTACTAGGGATAGTGCAGCTGATGTTAGATGGATCTTGGCTGAAAGGAGGGAATACCAGAGGAATGTCTATCTGTGTTTCATGGACTATGCAAAGGCATTTGACTGTGTGGATCGTAACAAACTGTGGCTGACTCTGAGAAGAATGGGAATCCCAGAACACTTGATCGTGCTAATGCATGACCACAGCAGATGTTTGGTAAAAGCATGCTGAGTGAAAGGGTAAACAGTCTTTCTTGTATTTAAGTAGTTTTCTAAATTTTTTTTTTATAACACCATAGGTCTCATATTTATTGAAAATGTGGGTGCATAATGAAGCACGTTCCATGGATAGTGATCAGATGGTGACAATCACTATCAGATTAACCGATATGGTCATTCAACTTGACACAGTGCGATACTAATGAACATGTGCACTGCCATCACGTGTACAACTCCTTAGAGACCCAGCTTGGTTCTTCTCCAATGTCTTCTCTTGGAGTTTACCTGATCTTATTGCCAGTTTTCATTCTAATCCACTGAGCAATGGGCCGGTTCTGCTTCTGTTTCTTAGCCAGGAACCTCTTAATCCTGAAAGTCTTATGAGAAGTCATAATGAAGACAAAAGGGAGCCACACTTAAAACGATGGTGGAGGAAAAGAAAGAGGACAGCATACCGACGGAAGTCGTTTTTCGTTTTCTAAATTCTCTCCCCCTTTCACTTATTGATACAATGAGTTACGTGGCCAGATTTTTTTTTAATTATTATTAAATTTTATTAGTTTTAAGCCAGATTTTTTTTTATTCCTCGAATAAAACCTATTTGGCCATACTAACTTATCAATGTTTGCTAACCTGGGGAGTCAATGTTTTACTCAATACTCATTCTAACATCTACATGCATGAGGAAATCTAACTCAAGTTTGCCTTTCCATAATTTCCGTGGGGTTTTGTCGCTACATCATGGTTTCATAAAAGGAATTAGGGACATTGCCATCCCATCCTATCACCTAAAATAGCTTAAACAGTATTGGATTTATCTGCTCTTTAAAGGTTAGAGATAATTCAGTTGTGAATCATCTGTGCCTTTTTAAATGGTCTCTCTTAATCACCTTTTCAATTCTTTGATGCTACTCAACCGATTTAAAAAGTTTTCCACTGCTCTTGAAAAAAGCATCTATTTTCTAGATTTGCAAATTTATTATAAATTAATCTGTATGTGGTATTCTCACATACTTCTTTTTCACTGATAACTGCAGGCTCAGAGGTCCCTTGGTGGTACTGTGGTTGAAATACTTGGAGCTCACTAACGGACAAGAGAACGATACACACCAAGTGCCCACACAACAAAGGTGAGAGTCTGCTTCTGGGAAGATTCAAACCCACCACTGCTGTTGGGGCAACTCCAACCCACTGCAAACCTCTGTTGGACTTCTGAGGCCACAAATCCTTATACGAGTCTTCCCATCTTTACTCTGTGGAGCAGGTGACGGACTTGAACTGCTGACTTTCAGGATGGTAGTGGAACACACAATGCACCATGACACCGGAGTTCCTTGCCCCAGAATCCCAGTGGCCAGTTCTACTATACCCTATGGGGTGGCTATGACTTGGGACAGACTTGATGACAATGGGATTGGGTTCTGGGCTCTGCCTGTGGTTCTTTCTAGCTTCTCACCATTTATGTGGTAGATATTTGCTCTATTTTCCCCACCCTTCATTAGTACTTCAAAAGGGTTGACCTTTCATAGATCATGTCAAAGAACTAATTCTTTAAAATTTATCATTCTTATTTTTATATAAGGGAGCTCTGGTGGCCTAGTGGTAAGCAGTTGTGCTGCCAACCCAAAGGCATACAGTCCAAATCCACCAGCTGTTCCACAAGAAAAAGAGGGGCACTCTCCTGCTATGAGCTGGTTCCTCCTTGACAGTACAAAACAACAACATTTTTCTATATCAACTTCAGCCTTTCTCTTCACTGACTTTAGGATCCACACTTTCCTATGTGTAAGACAGCATGTTTCAAATTCCCCTTTGATTGGGGTCTATTTCCTAATGTATTCTTCACCAATGACCAAGATGGGCCAGTCTTGCGGGAGATTTTGTTATGAAAGTACAAGGGCGGGTCTCACTGCAAAGTGAGCGTGTGATCCGGCACAACGGCAGCACTGGACAGAAGGGTCCTGACATCCGTGTAGCTGAAAACCAGACTACAGCTAGCAAGAAAAGCAGCACTTAACCGAAGCGCCTGCTTATGTCTATGTGTCCCCAGAACCCTCCCCAAATCCACAGTCCATAAAGGAAGGACTCTTTGTTTGATGTGGAAATTGTGTTCAGTGTTTTGTTCGCAGCTGGATACCAAGAATAAAGTCACTGCTGTTAAGCTGGAACTGACTCATAGCTGCCCTTCCATTCAGTTTCCAAGGCTGTAAATCACATGGGAAGAGACTGCCCACTGGGACCACCGGAGAGGAGCTGCCTTGGACGAGCAGTGCAGCTCCCAGTGGGCTATTGCCATCTTTTCCTAACAGGTATGATTTTCTTTTAAAATTACTTTTATTTTGGACTTTATTTCTTGCACAGACATCTAATCTAAACTAACAAAAGATCTAATCTCCAGCCCTTACTATCAAGCATCATACTCTTTGAAGAAAGCGTGAATTGACTTTTCCTAAATTATCGTCTTCTCCGGCTTCTTTGATTCTTCACTGACATTTGTGAAGTACACATTCTCCTCCCTGCTCGTTCCTGTTTACAGCCTATTTGCTCTGCCTGTTGTATCTCCCGTCTAGTCAATTTGCCTTCTCCAGCTAAAATCTCTTACTTAGCCATTAATCTTTTCGATTTGACCTGTAAAAGAAGCACAACTATTTCACAACCCCAAAAGCGGTCTGCTTAGTGTTTGACGAGCATCAAGATAAGATAGTCTGGTCTACCACATACACAGAGGGTGAGGAGTCAGCGGGGCAGGGACGTGCTCAACGTGCCTTTTAGTCAGTCTCCTAATTCCCACCAGGAGACTGCCTGTGTGCATGTGTGCAATCTCCTCCTGTGAGATTAACTGCCTCTGAAAAGCCATGGGAGGGTCAACCACAGGTTGGATATGATTCTACGGCACACAACAACAACAATATGGTTTGTGAAAAGTCACACTGAAACCACAGCCTGGATTCTAATACTGGCTCTGTCACCTAAGTTTTAGTAAATTGGTTTATTCTTTCCGGGACTCAGTCTTCTCATCTGTGCCTATCTGTGTCTCTAGAAATTTCTAGATCCTTGGAACTAACTGTGCCGTCATTAACATGGAGGAAGTGATTCCTAATGATCTTCAGCCACAGAAAAGCCAGTTACCCTTATTAACAAAAATACCTAGAAATTAGCCATCCAAATCACTAGATTCACTGATTTTAGTGATCAATGATGACTGTTTAGGTTTGAGACCAGCAGGAAAACCTTTCACTGTCATGCATCAGAAGAGGCTGAAATAATGACTGAGTTAAAGAAATGAAAGGTTCTATAATGCTATAACCTGGCACAGGGTCAACAAAGAAAGAACACTGTATCTGCTCCACAAAAAAGTCTGTAGTCTCCACATATGGATCGTATATACGATCAGATGGATAGGTTAACAGCGGGATTGTTATGAGCTGAATACAGCGTGGAAACAAAGCACCTAACTTGTACTCACTTTGACAGCGACACGCCGCCGGCCTTCCCGATCATCTCTTCGTGGTGCAACACTGAGTGGTTCCACGGGACGTGAAGGAACTTCAGGAGCGTTCTCATCCACCGCTCGGGATGTAAGACGAGCTGCTCATAGTGAACTAACATGCATTTCTTATAACCAACCTCCATACACTGGTTGTACATGGTCTCGATGGCCCGGTTCCATTTGGTCAGACAGTCTCTGTAGCTGTTCAGGTCGAAGCCAGCTATGGTGACTTTTCGAGAAATCATCGAGTGCACCGACGCCCGGCCGTCTCGAACCATCAGGAGGAATTTGGCATTGGGGAATAACCTGGCCAGGTAAGTCAAGGATTTCAGGGCGAAAGGATCTTTGTTACATAAATAAGGGGCCGGCTCCCCGTGCTTTACGATGATTTCCAGCAGGAAGGCTTGCATGGCGGAATCCAGCACGTCATCCGTGACGCCAGCCTCATCCAGGCGGATCTTCTCCTTACTGGACCTCGACCACATCTGCTTGAGGGCCAGGATCCGGGGGATGACCCTGGTCTCCTCTCCACAGCGGATGTCGGGGTGCGCGTCCAGCATGGCCCGCATGAGTGTCGTCCCGCTTCGAGGCACACCCCCAATAAATATCAAAGGCATGTCTTTGTGGTAGGCGAAGGTTTTATTGGCTTTGCCGTCCAGGGCAGTCCGCAGGGTGGCCCGCGGGCTCTCGGCCCTGGCCGGCTGGCTACGCTCCTCTATGCGGTGATGGCACTCCATGGCGTGCTGGCCCAAGTAGAACACAGTCACAGAACTAATAACCAGGCACGCCAGCAGCAAGTTCTGCTTCAGTTTGCCAACCATCTTGATATGCTTGGCTTGTAATTAAACGGACACTGTGCTCAAGGCGACCTTCTCAACATGCTCAGGCCATGGAGATTTTACTTCCGGACGATGATCGACATCTGGAAGGACAGCAAAGAGCCGTGTTAGCATTGGATTGATGGGTCACAAATTCTCAAGCCCGGTTTTCACCATCATACTTCAGCTACAAACAGAAGCACTTTTGGGTGATCTGATTTTTTTTTTCATTTTTTATTGTATTATTTGTGTGTGTGTGTGTGTGTGTGTGTACACTGTCAAATTAGATCTGACTGGTACAGGAGGAGACTGCCCCTCCTTCTCCAGAAGAGCATTTGGTGGATTCGAACTCCGTACCTCTGGGATTGCAGTGCCTGATTTTCTTAAAACACAAGTACAAGTTGGGCCCCCACATCCATGGGCCCTGATACCTGGGGATTCCATCAAACGCAGATGGAAAGTATTTGGGGGTGGTGGGGAGTAATTAAGTGGTCTGGCAATTCCTTAAAGGGTAAGAGAGACAAATACCGCATAAGATCAAATTGTGAAAAACAGAAGGATAACTGAGCAAGACCTGTATAAATGTTCAAAAAGGGTAAGGAAGCAGAAAAGAAAGGAGAGGTGAGGGGGGAAATCATCAGGACAGCAGAAGTTGGTGGGCAGGAAGGGGTGTGAGGGAACAAGAAAGACTACAAAGACCTGAAGAGAAGAGGTGATAACAGGCACAGAATCTACAGGAATCCGTCATATAAAACACATGTACCTAAACTACTGTATCCAAACACATAAAAAACCCCACAGTGGCACTGAGTGGATACAGTCTTTGTTTCTTTTCACCTTGTTGTGTACAGTGGACGAGAACTGGTACAGGGGGAGACTGCCCCTCCTTCTCCAGTAGAGCATGTGATTTGAACCATGTGCCTTCAGGATTGCAGTGCAGCTTCTTGCCACTAGGCCACCAGGGCTCCCCAGACACAGTCTTTCAAGGGCCACAGCAGACACTCACTTACAGGTATGACACATGGATTCAGTTCCTGACACGTTGCCAGGAAAGCCTACTCCCTGGAAAGGGACACCATGCTCAGAAAGGTGGAGGGTCAGTGAAAGAGAGGAAGACCTCCAACAAGATGGCAACTGCAGCAAGGGGCTCAAGGGAATCAGAGATGGTACAAGATAGGGTCGCTATGAGTTGTATTCAACTCAATGACACCTAACAACAACAACAAATACGTAAGAAATTTATTAAAAAGTAATTTAGGGGGAAAAAGATAAGCAGGAGCATAAAGTGCTATCTGCACAGAATGACACTGTGTTAGGCATTCTAATCAACAGAGATGAGGTAATGCACGGAGGAGGTATGCAAACCCCACATCATTTTCCCTGAGGGAGAGGAGTCCGAGAGCACTGTGGGCTCGCAGAGGTCCTGGATACCACGGGATGACTGTGTACAAAATGCCTGTGGAAAGAAACCAAGGCTTAGAATCAGACACAGCTCTTCAAATATAACAATTCAGAAGCTTAGTGCCTGGCACAGGACAGAAAAATAAATAAAGCTATTTCTATCAGTGAGTCTAGCAAATATTTAATATTCCCAGCACGTTTAGCATTCACGTCAAACTGGTTGGTCTATGAATCAAGTTTGCTATTCAGGCTTGCTTCATTCCCAAGAAGTCTCTGCCCCCAAGTCCCCCTAAGAAAGGGAAATTACAGGAGAACCTTTACCACACATTCAGCTTATTTATCCCACTCATTATTTTTTCAGGTCCTCACAGGCCAGAGACGAGGGCTTGGCTGAGCACCAGCAGCTTCATGAGCAGATGGAGAAGCAAAAAAGGGCAATGAGATGTGACTGGTGCCTCAACAGTAATGTGCAGAGGGACGATGGGCACATCAGCGTCCACTTGAGGGGGCCAGCAAAGCTTTACAGAGAAGGAAACGGGAAGGAGGACTACTGTAAGGCGTAGGTCTTGTCTGCAAAAGCACTGTGGCAAGTGGGTGACAAGAGTCGGCCCACACAGTCCATGGAGAATCGTGTGTGCCTATGTCTGTGGTCTGCCCTCAGAAGGGAAGACAGAATCCGGACACACACAGAAGTCTGAAGACAGATTCACAACCAAAGACAGGGCTGCGTAAGAGCATGCTACCACTGGAACCAACAGCAGCGCTGCGTGGAGCGTGAGCACCGCATGGGTTGTCAGTGTGAGTGACGCCCCAAGCAGCCTGTCAGCAAGAAGGGTCAACAACTTTACCAGCCAACCTTGAGGCTACATGGGGTTGTCACCAAGGAGACACCAAGGGACCACAGAGTGGAAAGCCAGGCAGATATGAAAATGGCCTGACCTCTGAACATGCCCCAACCCGCACACAGATCCTCTGGCAAAGGACATACGAGCATAAGCACTGGCTAAGCACTGGCTAGGCACTAAGCTATGCAGGTGGGGTCAACGCCAAGGACACGGTGCTTAAAAATGCAAGCACACCGCCCGCGTACATGCACGTGTGGGTGTGTGTACACATGTGTGCACATACCTGAACAGAAACATCCCCATACAGTTAAATGAAATGTCCAGAAAAGGCAAAAGAATAGAGACAGAAATCAGGGGGGTAAAAGCAGAGGGGCAAGTATGAGGGTTTACAGTGATGGAAAGGTCTTATCTGGATTTTTGTGATGTTTGTCCAGTAGCCACTGGTTTGGTTTAGGTTTTGGTTTTCATAATCATCGTCACATTGGAAACAAACCACATCTCTTTACATGGATAAATGGATAAGCTGTGGCCCTCTCCAATAATAAAAAGGAACAAATTCTTGAGATACATAATAGTGTAGATGAATCTCAAAGACATTGTGCTGACTTTTAAAAAAAGTCAGTCTTTCTTTTTCTTTTAAATTTTCTTTTTATAAGACATTATTTTTTTAAATTTTATTAATTCTTAGGAAAAAAGTACAGCTCAGTGGATGCCAGGGAACTGTATGAGTAGAAAAGATACACTAATATAATGCAGGGAGTTTTCTGGGGTAACAGAGTTGCTCTCTATCCTGACTGTAGTAACAGTTGTAACATGAAACAATTTATGTTCAAATTCACAGAACTAACATTCAAAAAAGTCTACCTTATTATTAATATTATAATTATATTATATACTATTGTATAGTAATGCAATATTAGAAAATATTGTACAGTATTATGATACTGTATATAATAATCAAGATAAATTTTTAAAATGAAGAGAAACTTGAAAGAAAATGTGGAATGGGGCGACAGATGACATAAGAAGACCAGCAGAAGAGTTTATCATCTTAAATCTTTTGATCAAACTCTACATCCCATTTAGCAACATGATTAGGTTCAAAGACCAACGTGGAAAAACCACATTATGCAAAAATAGAGATGACCACATCATTCCCCAGCGGCCAACCCCTCTGACTCCCAGTCTGACCACACTGGCCATGACCTTCCCCGGCACAGCCAGCAATGTTTTCACCTTTCACACTGCTGGTCTTTACCGCGAGACATACATCACTGAAGTGCAAGAGAGCAGGACAGATCTTTTATTCCTACTGTTATAATAATCCTGGATAACAAAATAGTGAGGAGAAGGTATATTTAGTGATGACAGACTCAGTGGTGAGGAGAATGAAGAATGAAAATAATACACTTTAGTGAGAATGGCAAAGAAATAATCTGAGAAAAATGATCTCATATTCTCCAGTTCATAGATGCTTAGATGAAATAAAAATGCATTTAAGTCTGAACACACAAACCAAACTCATTTAGTGAAGCAAGGAGAAGTGCTCACAGGGCCACAATAAGCTCTAATAAGGGGTGATTTCATTTCCGATAGTTACGCGGAAATGGTGCTGCTGGTGCCTTCTATCTGTTTAGAGGTTACATAATGCATGCTGCGTGAAAGAAGAGCTTAATCCCGCAGAGGGCCGGAGCTTTTTGCTGAAATACAGTCTTCCAGTCCTGTTGATATTTTAAACACGCATAATATCTTAACAACTTGCCAAATTTGAGCAGCTATCAGAATTCATCAGGTGCAACGTCTTCCCAAAATGGCATTAGCAGTAATTTTAAACACAGCTGTATGACAACGAAATGACTACCCATCTTCAATCTTTCCCCAGCTTGGATCAGTTAAAAAATATTCACCAAAGACAGGGCTGCATAAGAGCACGCCACCTGACTTGGTGCGGTCACAGAACCAGCCAGTCGCTGCTGAGTCACAGCCAGCCCCCACACAGCAGAATCAGGCCAGCAGTGGACTCTATCAAGGGGGTATCCGGTACATCTCCTAGCAGCTTTTCATGAAAGCACCCCCAAATCCCAGTGCGACACAGAGTGTTAATGCATTTCCTCATCTGTAAACCGTAAAAGTCACTGAATGAATTGATCTACATGTATTTCCCCACTTCTCTATTATTTATTTTATATTCCCACTGCTATAAAATACAGTGATAAATATTTTTGAACAATGTATGAGGCCCCGGGTTCGATCCCAGGCATCTTCACAAAAAAAAAAAAATTTTTTTTTGAACATACAAACTTTTTTTTTTCACAGATGAGTAATTTTCTTCAAACTAAATATTCAGTGAGGAATTGCTAGGTCAAAGAGTGTGAGGGCGTACCTGATCTGAAAGCACTTAAACGCATATTTCACAACTCCTTCTCATAGTCTACGTCCAAGCTGACAAAAAATTCTAGGGACTGTACCTTTAAAAGATGCTGAGGCTCTGGCCAGTTCCACACACCTGCACTGCCATTACCCTCATCTCCTGTGAAAAAATTTAACCCCATCTCAGTCTGTCAATCCGCCTCACTGGGGGTCTTTCTCCATCTTCCCAAGCATGCTGTTCTTTTCCAAGGAATAGCCTCTTCCGTCTAGCTACATGTCTGAAGTATGAAAGATGACACTTTGCCATCTTTGCCTCCAAGAAGCACCCTGGACGTACTTTTTCCAAGACATATCTGACTGTTCTTTTAGCAGTCCATGAGATGTTCAGTCCTCTTCTCCAGAAACACAACTCAAACTCTTCTTCTGTCATCCTTATTCATTGTCCATCTCTGGGATATGTAGCAGGTGATTGAGAAGACCATGGCCTGAATC